GGCTCTGACTGACCAAGACTCTCGGGGTATGATGCAGATGCTCAAAAAGGTAAGTAACAGAGGAGGACTCAGGAGGAGAGAATATGAAGGTATGAAGCAGAGATAGGGAGAAATAAAACATAAACTGGGAGATATGGGAAAAAAACCAAACTTGAAATCCTAAGAATAAAAAATAGTCCTTAAACCAACCCAGTAGCAAACAACATCCCTAGGATGTGATTTAAGGGAGCTTTAGCTTTAGAAACAGAGAATAAATGCCAAACCCAAAAAGGGTTATCTCGGGAGCAGGAGAGGGAAAGCGTACTAGTGTTTTGAACTGGCTTCTAGCACTTTGATTTTTCAGACTGTATGCATGTATCACTTTAATGAAAATTAAAATAAAGAATTGAAAAGACTGCAAGAAATACCATTAATGAAGGATCATCTGAAGTGTATGCAGTCCTTGCTTCCCTTGGTACAGTGTAAATTTTATTCTTAGAAGGGAGCAAACCAATCAGAGAGATAGGAACCAAGAGTATATAAATTTTAACCTTTCGTGTTACTTCTTTTATTAAGTTACAATTTGAAATTATGTCTATCAGCCACATTGAAAAACATTATAAAAAATCAGCTATTTAAATAATTGTGGAGTCTGCTGAGGACGTTGCCCACTGCCTCTTTGGGACCCTCTGGAGCGGCTCTGGCCTCAGTACCGGGAAAAACTGGGCTTTGGCCAAGGACCAGGTGTGTGTCCAACCTCACAGCTACTGTGAATTCTGACTCAGTCCTTCAGCTTTGGCTGCTGGGAGAGTTAGAGTAATTTGTGATTGGTTTCTGGTCACTTTATAGGATCATACGGAATGCCTTTGGGGCACTGACTTGCTTTTGTCTTATTTCCTGTCACTCTTATTTCACAAATCAACATAAGATTTACAGCCATTAAAGCACACAGCTACTCTGCCTACATTTACATACTTACATTGATCTGCAGAGAGAAGTGTACGGATGTGTGCCTGGAAGCCCTTCCGAGGCTTCTGAGTGGTGGGAGGGTGTGATGAGACAGAACGCATTGGGGAAGGCAGAGAAAGGAAGGGAAAAAAGGTAGGTTGGACTTTGGGGTCATGGCCTCGAATGCCAAGCTAAGAGTCTGAAGTTTATCCTGAAGATTAAAGCCAATGGCAAATGTTTTCCAAAATTCTGAGCAAAGCAATGACATGGAAACCGTGGTGGTTCAGAAAACTTACTGTAGGACAGTGTGCAGGATGGATGATCGAGGGGACATGGAGGGCCAGGGGACCAATTAGGGGCTATTTCAATAATCCAGGAGTGAGGTGAGGCAACGGTGTTATTAGTAAACTGACTGTGTTTTAGAAGAAGGATCAAATGTAACAGGCTTTAGGAAAGAAAAAGTGACATGGCCAGGAAACACAGCTTTTTCTTGCCACAAAGCAGGCAACATCCAAGGAAGCATGCTGCGCACTGCCCACAAACTTAAGGGAACAATCAATTCCCATTGGTCTATTATTCTGTTTCTATGGCCTAGGATTCTGACCTGGGCAAACCACAGGAGAAGCCAAATCGTTCCAAAGCCTCCCTTAGAAGGTAAGTTCTATTCCTTCCAGAAATTAAGCTGCTGATGACTAGAAATGACACCTAACCCCACACATGTAAATCACAGCCGCTCTGATAGGCCTCCTTCCTGCCTTCCTGAAACAGGTCAGCGCATGAGTCCAGCACCATGCAGATTCGAGCACTGTAATAAATACTGCCTCACACGGAAACCTGTTGAGATGAATTTCTTATGGTCCAAGAAAAGCAGAAAAATAATCTTGAAAACTTTAAGCCTAGGAACTGAAGTAAATTTAATTTTGACTGAAGTAGTTTTGAATTCATAATCTTTGGGGAATGCGTTAAGCTGGATTCACCTGTCTTATTTTTTCAAAGCAAATCAGCAATACAGAGATTTCAAGAGGGATGTTTACATCACAAAACAGAACAAAATTCTCAGGTAAATAGAAACTTGAAAATATAACTGATGAGCTAATTGAAATCAGGTTTCTATTCTCATCTCAATACACACCCCACTCACTTCTCCTAGGAAAACATTTCAGAGAAACATGGGATAACAGAGCTGGAAGGGGCTTTAAGAGCATCCAATTTAATTCCGTTGTGTTATATACCGTGTTTGTCGTTCTCTGTCTGACTTATTTCAATTAGCATAATGCCCCCAAGGTCCATCCATGTTCTTGCAAATGGCCAGATTCCCTTGTTTTCAACAGCTGAATAATCTTCCAGTGTATATATACCATATTTTCTTGAACCATTCATCTATGGATGGACACTTAAAGTTGTTTCCATGTCTTGGTTATTATAAATAATGCTGCAATGAACATGAGGATGCGTAGATCTTTTCAAGTTAGTGTTTTCATTTCCTCTAGATAAATACCCAGAAGCAAAATTGCTGGATCATATGGTTGTTCTATTTTTAAATTTTTGAGGAACCTCCAAACTGTTTTCCATAGTGGCCACCCGGGTTTGCATTCCCACCAATAACGTAACACACAAGCATTCCCTTTTCCCCACAACCTCACCAACACTTGTTATTTCTTGTCTTTTTGATTCTAGCCATTCTGACAGGTGTGAAGAGATATAGATGGCCAACAGGTACATGAAAAGAGGTTCAACGTAGTGACCACAGAGGAAATGCAGATCAAAACCACAATGAAATATGGGTCCCTTGTATGACAGATGATGAAATAAATCTGAGAGGTTGAATGATTTGCCCGAGGCCACTCAGTGTGTCAGGCACAGAATGGATTAGAATCCAGCAGAATTATTAAGTACTTTTTCCATGTTACCATTTGGCCCATCTCTAACACAACATTTATGATGGTTAATGTTATGTATCAACTTGACTGGGTCACAGGGTGTCCGGGTATTTGGTTAAACATTATTCTGGGTATGTGTGTGCTTTTGGATGAGATTCACATTTGAATCAGTAGACTGCCCTCCCCAGTGTGGGTGGGTCTCACCCAATCACTTGAAGGCCTGAGGAGAACAAAGAATGACCCTACCACAAGGAAGAGGGAACTCCTCCTGCCCAATTGCCTTTGAGCTGTTTTTTTTCCTCCTGCCTTTGGACTCAAATGAAAGGCTGGCTCTTCCTGGATCAGACTAGAATTTCACCAGGGGTCTCCCATTTACCAACTGCAGGTCTTGGGACTTCTCAGTCTCCACAATCACATGAGCCAACTCCTTATAATAAATATCCCCCCCACTACTCCTTTACACACACACACACACACACACCCCTGTTGTGCTCTTTCTCTGGAGAACCCTAATACAATATTAAACTTTTAGCCCAAAAGAGGAAAGAAAATGGTCTCAATGAACACGGTGGACACTGTAGATCAGCCTCGCAAAAGCCACTCACAACCTTCCTCTCCCTTGTCTTCCTCTAGTTTAAAGGCTGAAAACCTAAAAATGTAGTTTCCTCACCTCTTTTACAGCTAACAGGGGTCATACGATACAGTTCTGAACAGTCAAGTGTAGGTGGAAATCCCTAGGAGCTTTGCCCTTTGTTCTTTGCCTTTTATTACCCCTTCTTCTTCATGTCTAGAGCTTGGACACGCTGGCTGAGGGTTGAGGGCATCAGTCATCCTGGGACCATTTTAGTTGGGTTATCTGTTATTTTAGGTGAAGCCTTTTCCTAATAGACAATTTCTAGCCTGATTTCAACTACACCAAAAAAAACCAAAAGTGAACATGACCCCAATTTTAATAAAATACAAGCATCTATCCAAGAAAGTTTTTGTGGGTCTACAATACAGATGAAGTGTAAGACGCACTAAATCCAAGACCTCCCCTTCAAGGAGGCTGGTGGGAAGATAGCTTGCTTCTTGCCATTGCAGATGATGGTCTGGGGAGAAATCCCAGGGGATCCCCTATAATTCCAGCATGCGTGGCTGCCACAAAAGGCTAATGCTAAAGCAGACTGAATCTTGGGCAGGTATTACCAGTGGATCCAACTTTTCCCATTTAGCGCATTTATTTCTTTTTCATGAAAAACTAATCGTGTTCACTGATTCCTGCCTCATTAGAATGAGCACGTGGTCCCTTCTCCTTCAGGGAAAACAGAAATCTTTCTCCATTGATCCTGGCACCAGAGACCACAGGTGGCTCTATGGTAGAGAGGAAGGAGCACTAGATTCAGTCAAAAGACCTAAGTTTGAGACTTGGTTCTGCCCCGTTTTCTTCACCCAGAGTCTCCCACAGGCACACCTCCAAACCTTTCTGAGTTGCATTTCCTAATTCACAATTATTGAGTTAAACGACATAGTAATTACAAAAGAATTCCCACAAATACAAAACACTCTGCAAAAGTAAGAGTTATTAATCAGATAACTCGACTGTGTGCAAACCAAAAGTCAATAGGTTCAATGTGAGGGAAGCACATGAATAATAGGAGAAAATTCATTCATTATCTTTTTTTTTTAACCTAAGTTCATTCATTGTCTTTATGGCATTTATTTTGGCTTTTCTTCCTTTCTCAGAGAGTAAAAGTTGCTAGAGATAAGTGAGCTCTCTCTGCCATAAGCGTTATAGCAAAAAGCCTTACAGAACAAGGAAATAAAAAACTAGGAATGACTCAGTACATTCACTAATTGAGTGGTAGCTTACCAGCCATAATGTACCCTAACCCCCCTGTTGTATGACCTAACAGCGCTCCAGCCTTCAATGTCCTTTTCGTTATACATTTATCGCCTATATTCCCTCTAGAATCTAAGCTCCATAGATCCCTACCTGAGATTAAACCTCTCACTGCTTCGTGGGTGATAAAAGTTCAAGGAGATAAAACATGTGCCCCACAATGCATTCTTTTTATCCACCTTAGTTTCCCACTCTGCATGAGAGTCATTTCTTTGTGGATTAATGAAAGAAAAGTGGGGTTCTCTGAGAGGTCACTGGGATCGTGCCTGGGAGATGCTCCAAGATGGTCTCCCCCCCACACACACACATACCTTGTCTTGGGTTTGGCATCGCAAACAGTCACATTCGAAACAGTACTGGTCCCTCAGCTGCTCCCGGCGCTCCTCACTGGTCATCAACATGTCCAGGTAGCAGATGGTGAGCTGGGGGGGCCACAGAGGAGAGGGTCACGTGGCTGCAGTGCTCATCATCTTTAACACATGCTTACTATCATTGCTGATTATTTAAGCAAAACACATTTTCATTACACACCAAAAAGTGCAAAAAGGAAAGATACTACTTAGAGTCTCTATACGCAAATAATCACTTGCAAAATTTTAATGCATTACCTTCCAGTCTTTGTTGTGTGGTGAGCACCTGTATATTATATACTTACTTTAAAGACCTGGACTCCTGGCCTCTATACACTTTTACGCCCCGCCTTTTATCCACCAAATAAGAGAATATCAAGAGCTGGCGTGTGTTGGGTAATACCAAGGCTGGGTAGTAAAAGCTATAACCGCTCGCAATCAGAGAAGCCAGATCAATTCTAGCCCCCAAAGGGGCAGCAGATGATGCACCCAGATGCTCTTAAATCCTAATCAGTCCTGCAGCCTCATGGAATTTGAAGTCAACCAAATTTGGTGGCTTTGAAGTTAGGAGACTGTTTTACTTGTGACTACAGAAAAAGGGGGCGCCTGGGTGGCTCAGTTGGTTAAGCAACTGCCTTCAGCTCAGGTCATGATCCTGGAGTCGCGGAATCAAGTCCCACATCGGGCTCCCTGCTCTTGGAGAGTCTGCTTCTCCCTCTGACCCTCCCTCCTCTTATGCTCTCGGTCTCTCATTCTCTCTCTCTCTCAAATAAATAAATAAAATCTTAAAAAAAAAAAAAAAGGAATAATTTCCAAGTAGGGAGAACTAATGTCAGAATGTGATCCTAGATGGAAGCTCTTAAGCTGACTTCCTTGGGCCCTTTCAAACAGTGATTATGTTGTCTTGGATGGTGAAAGGTCAGGTGTCCCTGTCGCTGTCAAGTCCCACTTGGAGACATAGGTCTTTGGGTAATATTGCGCTGTTCACACATCCCACACTCGACCAGATCTATGTACGCTGAAAGGCTAATTCAACATACACAAAATGGCACTCCTGATCTCCCCAGGCCTGTTCCATCTCTGCTGGAGCCATCCCAATCTCAGCTGACAGCAATGCATCTTTCATGTCCTTCAAGAAGAAACCTCAAAGTCATCTTTGATTTCTCTCTCCCTTTCACATTCTTGCCCAATCCACCAGGAAATTCTGTGTGCTCAATCTTAAAAATATATCCAGAATCAACCACTTTCTACCTCTCCCAATGTGACCGTCCTGGTCTGAGTCACCTTCCATAGCTTTGGGCGGGTCTCAGTGGAAGAAAGGCCTGGTCAGCTAACCAGAGCTGTCCCAGCCCCCATGGCCACCCCCAGGGTGACAGAAGCCATGGCCCAGTCTGGCTAGCTGGCTCTCTCTAGACCCTTCCCATGTTAGGCAACTATATCACGCTGCTCTGAAACACAGAAATAAGAGTATCTGGCCTCAAGAAGTGTAGGCAACGATGTTACTGAACATCTACTACGTGCTAGGCACTCACGGAGCGAGGCGCGTGAGACAGTTAAAAATCAGCAAAGGTCTGGGATCCTTCGGGGATTTGCACCCACATCCCTTGATTCAAGCCAGATACTCTTTCTCTAATATGGCTGCTTCTCATCCTTCTGGGGGCTGAATGGAGACTCGCCTCTGGAGGGGCTGCACTGGCATCAACCCTAAAATGCATAAGCCTGCACTCCACAGTGTTCTGTGACAACTGGGCTCCTTCGGATTTAAGTCCCTAAATCCCTTTTCTTGCTTGTGATCTGAACCTGGGGCTGCCTGGGAGATGCAAAGGGCCATCATACCAGGCTTTGTTGTAGGATAACTCTATGTCCCAAATTCCAAATAACCAATTTCAAAGCGCACTTTTGAAACTGCCTGCTAGTAAGTCTGGGGAAGGGTATGCATTCATCTTGTCTCAACGGGCTCTGAGAGCCCCGGTTTCCTTAAATGAGGTAAAATGAACTGAACTCCATGCTCCCTCTTGGGTTGGCTCTGGGACTCTCCTTCTTAATCCAGCCCAAAGGCTCTTAGTCATCAGCCCCCGCCATCAGATTAGATCACTGGGTGAGTACGATGTGCCCAGTGTGAAACCAACAAACCCAGGGCCAGAGAAAGAAGTTTGGTTAACCTAAGACTTAATTACAAGGGCCAATTCACAAGTGATCACGCCAGGCAGTGAACGGGCAACAGGAGACTAGTTATTTCATTTAACCCCACTAACTAGACTCTAACAGCCTCCATCACTACCCTGTAACTGCCTGTGATCACTACCTGGACTGGGCTATGGCTTTCTAACAGGCCCTAGGTTTGTTGGCTGCGGGTAAGGCACACTAAGTCTTGCCCACTGATCTTCTGTCTGCCTTTCTAGCCTGGATATCTCTCCAGACACTTTCCAGTCTTCATGGTTATATACACGGCGACTCCTCAGAAACAGTGTGCTCGGTGCGAGCTGGTATGGAGCATCCCTGCCCCAGCTAGCCCGTGCCTGCCCTGCACCATCAGCTTCTTCAGAGCGCTCTCAGCCCGCAAGCTTGGCTCAAACACGCCGCTTCCCATGAACACTGCCTCATTCCTTCATTTTTGCCTCTTCCACATTCATCCAAGTTCACAAAATACTCTGTGTCAAAACTGAAGATCTCAATGGCAAAACATTTTTATGCATATTTTGGGGGGGAAAAGCACCATAGGTTACTAACGGGCAATGACAGTGAAATCATTTTATCAGCCAAAGATAAAAAACCTTTCTTGAAGACTCACTGGTTCACCACTTTTAATGAAGAATCTGCTCACTACATGTAGGGCTCATTTAGCAGGAACGTATATATGAAACGTGGCCATTGACCAGTGGATGCTTTAATGGCATAGAACAAAATCGCATTAAAATATTAATGCCACTGACCATTGCTTTGCCATTTTAGAGCAGTTTGTATGGGAAATGCAGTAAATCACTTCCAACATTAGAGTAATATCATGAAAGATATTTGCTGGATATTGGATATATTGCTTACTTGAATATTTCAAGGCAAAGGAACCCCTTTTCCATGAAGCCCATCTTTTCATTATGTACAACAGAGTGGATAAGAAGACCAAATTAAAATTAGACTTCATTTTCATTTCTGGAATCACACAGTCACAATTACAAATTTTTCTGCGGTTACTGGTTCTGAACTGAAAACAAGACTGCAAATCTCACTTCTTTTTAAAATCACACCTGAGTGTTAGTGTTTCTCTTCTTGTACTCGGTCATTAGCAAATCCTGCTAATTTTAGCTTCTAAATATTATATTCTTCAGATCCCCCATCATGAGCCACCACGTGAATTTCTCCTGACTTCGGGGTGCCATTGTCACCTCTTGCTTGGATTACTGCATCAACCTGACCCTCACTGGTCCAACCTTGCTTACACATGGAAAATCTGATCACAGTTCCTCTGCTTCAGTGTGGCCCCATTGCCTGTCCCCAACCCCTTCATGAATATCTACTGAGTGCCTCCCATAGACCAGACACTGTTAGGAGTTCCTTAATAAGGCCCCCATGGGGTCCTACAATCACGTCTGGTCCCTGCATATTCCCTCATAGGTTGGTCACATTCAAAGTCTTCAGTCAATTGATAAGAATGCTTCCTACTCCTTGAACTCACCATTCTGTCCCTTGTCTCTGTGTCTTTGTCTAGAACGCCTTCACCTGTGTCAGCCAAGTTGAACTCTATGGATCCTTCGAGAGTCTAGGAGTCACTTCTCTGGAAGCCTTTCTTACCCACTCGCCCACCCCTGCCCCCTACCACCACCTGGATGCCCCTAATCTGAACGTCTATAAAGCCCTATGTACTTTATACTATTGTACATTTCATATTCTCTTACTATTTTCTGTTTTATGTCAGTTTCCTCGTTTATACCTTGAGCTCCAGAAGGCAAGCCTAGGTCTTACTCATCTTTGTACTCCCAATGCCCACCCCAGGACATGATACCCAATAAGTAGGCAGTGAATTTGTCAAATGACTTAGCATATAAGTAAAGAGGACTGAGAGAAGAAACAGACTGTCTTAATCCCACAACAATTTAAATTAAAACCAATATGAGGGATACTGACATGCTCAGTTTATGCAAATCATATTTTTCACAGTTGATACAGCTCCAGAGGATGCTGGCAGCCAGGGGCGTTATCTGTAACAGCTACAACCTCTTCTTACCAGGAATTTCCACGAGGGTGGCCTAGACTGTCCAGCTTTCTTCCCTGATCCATGTTTTAGAAAACCATCAGCAGATAACACACATTTCATGGCTTACCAAAACCCTGAAGAGGCAGCTGTCAGCAATCCAGCAAGGGGGCCATGCCTCAAACCTTACTATAAACCTCTCTGTAGGAGGTACTAGATGAGGAGACAAAAACCCCAAAGCAAAAGCAAACCAAACAAACTAAACCAAACCAAACCAACAGACCCAACAACTCAGCATTACAGTGGAAATCCTGAAGTAGCAAATCCTGAAGTTATAGATAGTGCTGGTTTGAAGTCTGAAAGTGGTCCAAGGGATGGGCTTCATGTGCAGAGAAACAAAGGGTAGGAAATTTCCATGGTGACTTCTACTGTGGAACCTACGCAAATTCCCAGTCTCCTGGGCTGAGGTCTGAAATGTTCTCATCTCAAACTGGCAATGGCTGGCTTTCATGTTACTTTCTTTCTGGGGCCCGTGGGACACACCTGAAGATTAGTGGTAGTTTTAAAAATGGCTCTAACATTCTATTCCACCTCTGGTTTTGTCTGCAGCAAGCCTTATTCACTCACAAAACAGATACAGAGTACGGATCTTCTCTCTAAGAAGCACTATGCAGCCGTCCCTCATGGAGCCTGTATCCCGGGACTCACATCCCAGCGAGCACGTGCTAGAACTAGGGGCTCCCTGATGGGCAGTAGAGCCAAGATGCAAAGCTGATCCTCTGAAACTGCCAAGAGCTTCTAAATTTACTTCCTTGCTCAGTTGAACTAAAGCAAATATTTGCACAATAAAAAGGAACTATCCCTCTTAATCAACCTCAAAATGTCTTTCCTCCTGGTTCTCCCTCTGCCCCAAGGGGCAGTTTGAAATGTGTGGGAGGAATGTCAGGTGTTGGGGTGGGCAGCTACAGGCATCAACTGAGCAGGGACTCAGGACAGCAGCCTTCACCGACGCAGTGAACCGCTGACCATCCAGAATGCCAACAGTTCCCTCAGGGACAAGCAATCCTGGGCTCCACGGAAGCTCACTTTAATGGAAGTCAAGTCAACAACAAGCCATGAATGTCTCCTGGCGGCAAGGCCAAGTACTGGGTACTAAGGGAGAGACGGAAGTAAGACACAAGGGCCTGTCCTCATGATGCTTACGGCAAACAGAGAAGTCACCAGAAGGGCCAGAATAACCTCAAAGAAAATAAAGGAGATCTCAAAGCAGAAGACATTTCCTGTAATCTGGGAAATCGGGAAGAGGTTTATAGAAGAGATGATGTTTGAAAGGATCTGGAAGGGTATGTGATGTTAATACAGGAAAATGGGGGGGGGGCACGGGGAACAACCGTGCAGACAAAATGTCACCCACCAAGACACACGATGGGGTGGGGAAAATATTATTTTCTGAAAAAAAAAAAAAAAAAATCAAGCTCATAGCCACAGAGAACAGAGCAGTCGTTGCCAGAGGTGGGAGGGGGGCGCAAAATGGGTGAAGCCGGTCAAAAGGTACAAAGTAAGCCAGTCCTAGGGATATAAGGTACAGCATGGCAAATATAGTTAACAATACTGCAAAGCATATTTGAAAGTCACTAAGAGTTCTCATCACAAGAGAAAAAATGTCTGTAACTATGTTTGGTGATGGATGTTAACTAGGCGTACTGTGGTGATCATTTCACAATATACACAAACATCGAATCATTGTGTGATACACTGGAAACTTACAGAATGTCATATGTTGATTACACCTCAATTAAACAAAATTATCTTCCAAATAGACAGTATGAAAGCACTTAGAGGGAGAATGCTCCCTTTGCTGGGAAGCTGCTTTGATAAGTATCATGCGGGAACGTATCTGAGTCTGCAGGGCCTGATGCTGAGCACAATTATTTTGTGTCAAGTGAGAGGAAGGATTTGCTTGTTGCTCCAGAGATGGAAGGAAAAGGACATGAAAAAAGTGAAATCAGCACCAAGAAACAAGACTTTTTTTCAACTAAATGAAAACCAACCAATGAAAATAACGGGCAACCAAACCTAGAAAACAAGGCATAGGAAAATCTCCTTGTTGTTCCTGAAAATGCTGACTGTTTCTTTTAGTTTTTCTGTTTGCCTCTCCAGTTACTGATTTTTTTAATTTAGTAAATCATCCTCCTATCAGCGGCAGCGACCTCGTCTTCGGGGACAGGGGGCCCTCAGCTCCTGCACCTAATACGGCTGCAAATGGACAGCGCCCCCCTTTCTTACCTGCCTCGCAATCACGTAGCCCTAGAATAAAAAACAATGTAATTCTCCATCTCGTTGACAGATGCCCCAGTGCACTGAGCACAGGGGTCCTAAAAACGGAAATCCAGTAAGTGGCTGTATAGGAGACAGCTTATTCAGTTGAAAATCAGATTGGAGGGAGTCTTATCGAAGCCCAATCCCTGTCTACATAAAATATGGTGACCCCGAGTTTAGGTTTTATTGGTTGAGTGCTGCATAAATGCAATCAAAGCTTATGATACTCTGCTTTCCTTGCAATAAATATCCACTTTAGCAAATTGGAAGGTGGAAGGAAACTAAGTTCTAAAGAGTGTAAATACCTATAAGCACACGTTCGGGGTGGTTACGTGTGCAAACCCTGTGTGGGCTCCGGTTTGGGAGCCCGGGGGCAGCTCATCCCCAGCTGCCTTGTGAGACCTGGCGCTTCGGAGAAGGTTCTTCTTCCCAAGAGGCCGGTGTGGCAGGTTACAACCCCGGGGGGTCAAGGCTAAGTCACTACAGGAGGTTATACTCCCTGGCCTCTCTGCCCTTCCCATCTTTGCTGAACAATCGCACAGAAACGTTGAGAGCTCTGCAAAGGCCCCATGACCACGTGAACGAGTAAATCTTGTTTGCTTTCTTGTCATGAAGGTCCATGAGTCACCTGCAAAATGGGACAAGTAGCCCTGGGGGTAATAAGCCCTTGGGATCCCATTCACAAGCCAGGCTGCGCTCCTGCCCACGAAGGATGAGCACTGGCCGGGATACGAAAGGCTGGCAAACCGTCACATGCACAGAACATGGACACTCTGTCACATGCTCATATCCCTCTCTTGCACACACACAAGAGGACCCGCTGAGATCCAAAGAAATGGTGGTTTACAAAGGCAATCCACCTATAATCCTGGATAAGGACTAAGGGGAAAATCGGTCACTGGGTGGACGCATTATGGCTCTTCTCCCTGGCAGAAGGATCGGGACAAGCTGTCCCTCAGGCACAGCTGGTTTCAGGGAAGGGTCTCTGATGAAAAGGAGGCCAGACGGTGGGAAAAGCAGGTGGCTTACCTCCTCTCCTGCCTCGATGTCCCGGACTGCTCGCAGTAAGAGGTGGGGCCCATTGAACACAATGGAACAATTGGGGTCACAGCTATGATTGAGCAAAGACATACTGGAGGAAAGAGAAAAAGAGGGTAGCGTCACTCAGCAGACAGTCAAACATCTAAAGTTAACGAATATAATCAGCAAAAGACACTTCAGCACAGAGTGGGGGGGGCGGAGAGGACAGGTAAGGTTGACAGGGCACCAGGGACTGAGGGGCTCTAGGAGAAGTCCCAGAAATGTCACTAGCCCACATTGCATAAAGCAAAATGCTCCCCGGGCGCCTGGGTGGCTCAGTTGGTTAAGCGACTGCCTTCGGCTCAGGTCATGATCCTGGAGTCCCTGGATCGAGTCCCGCATCGGGCTCCCTGCTCGGC